GTTTTAAGATGGCAGCAGTCTTTTGGTCTTGGGGTCACTCAGATTAGCCGTTAGCTCATCAGCTCATCTGACTAATGCTGAATGTTATTTAACTTGGAAATCTAAACTTGGATCTGGGAATGACGTCACTTTTAACCTCATTCCAATTGTAACTTGGAAAACACAAGAAGTTGCTAAGGGTTTTGCTCAGTGACTAGGCTAACTATTAGCCTACTAGCAATACAAGCTGATAAACTACTAAGCAGGTCATGGATTTAGTGTGAAACAAATAATCTGTGTGCAATGTACTTACTGAGACACAAACCAACAGAAGTAAAGAATACGGTTTATTATTGTATCTATCACGTCTTTAGGCACAATGCGACCATATTGGATTCTGAAGTTGGGGATGGCCAGGAGTTTCCATCCTTCAGAGACAACTCAAAAGTCAACTTCTGAGTACAAATGTGACGCATCAGTAAATTATATTTATTTAGAGCCCGGATAGCTCAGTCGGTAGAGCATCAGACTTTTAATCTGAGGGTCCAGGGTTCAAGTCCCTGTTGTGGGGAGTGGTGGCGCAGAGGTTAGAGAGGTGGGCCTGTGATCCGAAGATCGCCGGTTCACGCCCCGGCCCCGACAACATCAAAATTGTGGGTGGGGTAGGTGAAACACCCACACTTGCCCCCACCCTCATTCGCCCCACCCTGGGCCCATGAGCAAGGCCCTTAACCCCCACCATGTGCTCCCTAAAACAGGTCTCTCTTGAAAATGAGTTCTCGTGGCTCAATGAGACTACCTGGATAAATAAAGGCTAAATGAAAAAAAAAAAAAAAAATTTCTCTAAACTGAGGTTATTCAACAAGTTTTTTGTTCTACAAGTAGATATTATTGTTCATAACTTCTACACAGAGTCCTACTTCAAAATGGTCCGAGCAGTGGTGGGCACAGCTAACCAAAAGTTTAGCTTCACTAATCCATATTCTGCTAACTAAAAGGTTAGCTTTGCTAATATTAAACCACTAAGCAAGTTAAAAAAAAAAATTGTGGAAGCTAACACTAAACCGCTAAGATGACTGTCACTCAGTCTGCGTCACATCTTCCAGTTGAAGCTGCGTCGACCAATCACGTCTTGTCATGTGAACATGTAGTCAGCCAATAGCGTGCCTATCGGCCTCTTTGAGACACGCCCACAACAGACAGAACAAGGTTGTGAATTTTGTTAGCGGACTTAAAGTTGGAAAATTCTAATTTAGAGGAAGCTAAATCTGCTGAGTTTCCAAAAGTAAGAGGAAAACGCTAATCTGCTAAACGAAAAAATAGTTCCACTGTTAGCTGTTAGCGGATTAGCAGAACTGTGCCCACCACTGGGCTCAACTATTAAATTTAAATGTCCTACAGACCATCACAATACATTTAAATAAAAAACAACATGTCTCAAATATTAAAAAAGTGCACTAAAACTTTGATTAGACTTTTCATTAATTTTGTTGTGCCTGTTGCTACAAAGTTGTAAAGTCACAAACTGGATGCTAAAATATCCAACAAATTTCAGATATAAATAAATACTAAATAAAGTTAACCAGTTTAATCAAACAATTTTATTTTACTCTTCAATTTGACCTATCACTGCAGTAACATAAATTCTTCTTTATGTGGACAAATAAAGAAAGTTACTCTTTTTTAACTACTTTACTTTGGTCAAACTGTGAACAAAATTCAGATTCCTGCTGTATAATTTTACATCGATTGATTTTTGTTCGGTTGATCTCGTTGCGTGACAGATCTTTACTGGACAAACACCAGATCCCTTCATGAAATGAATGTTCTTTAGAACAAATAAAATATTCAAAGTTCTGCTCTCCTTGAAGGAATGCATATCGCCCTTCTGCCTTTGAAGAGTTTTAGATTAAAATCATCTCGTGCTTGTTGAGAAAACTTCTGAGTAGAGTTTGATTCGCTGTGGCGGCCATCTTGAATTAGGTCTCTGATGATCCAGAAGCTGTCTTCTAATAACTCACTGTATTCTGTGGGATATGAAGTCCCAGAGGTCTGCACCCACCCCACCCCCACCCCACCCGCTCTCAGTGATGCGAGCCAGCAGGGTGGGGGCAGACGGAGATGACCCAGGAGTCTGAGCCTCTGTTCAGTCAATAACACATTATGTCACTGTTGTGTTGGCACGCCTCGTCTGAGCGGCTCCACGAAGCAGGAGGTTTCCACAGCTGCTGAGGATGAGCAGCCAGATGTTTTCCTCTGCATTATTAGTTAAATAATTGAACCCCCCCACCACCATCACCACACACACACACACACACACACACACACACACACACACACACACACAATTTAAAGAGACTTGCATACATTTGGTGGTCTGCTGTCGCTCTTCTTCTTTGAGTTTTGATTCTGGTTCTTTCTCGTCTTTCCCTCTCTCTACTCTAATTCATGTCACTGTTTATTTATTTGTTTGTTTATTTATTTGTTTGTTTGTTTAACTAGTCTTTGCCTTTATCACAAGTTTCAAGTCTACTTTTAGTTTTCACCTTATGGTGGAGCAATAATGTTTATTCCTGCTTCTGTGTGTGTGTGTTCTGTCAGTAAAATATAAAAAAAAAAAAAAAAAACATTGGATGGATTGGTTACACTTCTACATTTTCAGGTATTGAGCTCACATTGGGCGGAATGGGGGTTCAGACTAATCCTAAATTTAGAGTTTAGAGCGCTGACTGATTGAGCACAATCTGTTCATAACAAATGTCATTAACTATTGGAGTCAGATCTGTTCATCCATCCATCCATTCATCCATCCATCCATCCATCCATTAATCCATCCATCCATCCATCCATTCATCCATCCATCCATCCATCCATCCATCCATCCATCCATCCATCCATTATCTTTACCCGCTTCTTCCATTTTGGGTCATGGGGGTCACTGGTGCCCATATCCAGCCATCACTATGTGAGGGGCAGGGGACACACTCTGGATAAGTCTCCAGTCCATCACAGGGACACATAGAGACAAATGAGACAAACATTCACTCTCTCTCTCTCACCTAGGGACAATTTAGAGTTACCAGTCAGTCTAACATGCATGTTTTTAGTCTGTGGGAGGAAACTGGAGTACCTGGAGAAAACTCAAGCATGCACAGAGAGAACACGCAAGCACCACCCAGAAAGGTCCCCAGCAGGGATTTGAACTGGCAACCTGCTCACAGCAGCTCTACCTGTTAGCAAAATATATCTTGGAACACTGGATGGATTCTGAATGAACTTTTAGAAACAATCACTGGGTTAACATCAACAACTGATTAACTTTTAGAGTCAAACTAAAACAAAATGGCCACCACAGCCAACTGAACTTAAGAAACCGTCATGAATGAGCTAAATGTTTTTTTCTTTCAGCTTACCATTTGTTATTTTTATTATTAAACTTGCCTTTTATATCTTTAGCTTTAGGCCAGCTTTGGCTTCTTTAAGCTTCTGGCTAGCATTTAGCTATTTTTCACTTAAAGCTAGCCTTTCGCTACTTTAACTTTTTTTAACTATCTTTTTACTACAATTAGCCTTTCATTATTTTTTTGTTGCTTTTACCTTTTGGTTAACCTTTGGCTGCTTTAGTTGGCATTTTGCTACTTTTAACTTGTAGCTTGCATATCATCTAGCTTCTGTTTAGCTACTTTCAGCTTGTAGTTAGTCTTTGGATAATTTCAGCTTTTAGTTAGAATTTTTTTTTACTTTTGGGTTTGCTTTTTTCTACTTTATTTTTCTGCAGTCCTTTTGCTATGTTCAGCTTTTAGCTATTCTCATGTAACGTTTTGCTTGTAGATCATCTTTTGCTGCCTTTAGCTAGCCTTTAGTTACTTTTAGCTTCTAGGCATCAGTTTTCTACATTTAGCATCCGTCTACTGTTTTGTAATTTGGAGCTTTTTGCTATTGTTTTGCTTCTTTTAGCTTTTAGCTAGTGTAGTGTTCTTCTTTAACAGCTCAGTTTCATCTTGAGCCGTCCAGCATTTCTCCACTTTATTTTGATTTATTCATTCGTTTATTATAAGTTCATTTAAAAAATTTTTTGCGTTACTTTTTAAGCTCATTGTACATAAAGCTCATAAAGATGTGCTGCATCCAGTTTCCTGCTGCGTCAGCACTGTCTCAGCAGAAACAAAGGTGGTGAGACGTCAACATCACAGGTTCCACAGAGAAAACTTGTGAGATCCAGAATCTCCTCGTAGCTGTTTGCATCTTCCAGTATTTGTAATGAGTTAATAATTTCTGTGTGTGTGTGTGTGTGTGTGTGTGTGTGTGCAGCACGTGTGGAGCGAAAGCGAGGACTGCCTCCCCTTCTTGCAGCTGGCCCAGGACTACATTTCGTCCTGCGGGAAGAAGACTCTGCTGGAGGTGCTGGAAAAGGTCTTCACGTCCTTCAGGCCTGTAAGGAAACAAACAAACACCAAAGTGTTCGAGCTGCATCCACAGCACAGAAACTTTTGACCTGATGTGTCTATATCAGCTCCTGACCCGTTCTGTTCTGTAAACATCACGTACGACACTCACGTGGTGTTTTAACGTTGGTTTAGTTTCTCCACCCAGACACAAACTCCCTGTCAGACATGGTTTAAGGCTTCAGGAGGAGCAGTTATGACGCCCAGCTGTGAATGTTCATACTTTAGTTTGTTGGCTGCAGAGAGTCACCCAGCAGGTGATGCAGCTTTTGCTTCAAAGCATGACCTGCTGAAATCCCCTTTTGGCAGCTTTATGTTTCACCCTCACTGAAGCCTCTAAATGTATTCCTTATGTGCCGCTTGTCATAAATACAAGAGTTAATATTATATATTAACTCTGAGGCAAAGTCAGACAAGTCATCAATGAAAGGCCCAGAAGTCCTTGCATTTTGCATGCTGCCTTGCATGACAGATTTAAATCAAGATGGCCGCCACAGCCACATCTCATGTCAATGCTCAGAATATGTGTTGAGGATGACTCTCAGCTACTACTGCACAAACTTCACCTCATTATCTGTAAATAGTAAGTTACAGCCTGTTTGTGTTTGCTAAGGTGGCCATCTTGAATCAGTGTGAGTCCAAAGGTCAAGCAGTGGTAGATTTACATCCACCAACGACGATGATGATGGTGATTTAAGAGTTTTAACAAAGTCCCGTGGTTGTGAGCTCTTTTGTTAATTCTACAAACACACAAACAGAGAGAAACGGGTAAAACTCAGCAATCCTTGCAAAATCTCTGCTGTTGGTAAAATGTATATTTCTACATTGAAATCTGTTTAAAAAAACACAAATAAATGATGAAAAAAACAAGTAAATAAATATAGTGGGGAGCTGTGGCGCAGAGGTTAGAGAAAGTGGGCGTATGATTGGAAGGTCGTTGAATCAACTCCCTGAAAACATCAAAATATGGGTGGGCCTCCACCCTCATTTGCTCCAATCTAGGCCCTTGAGCAAGGCCCTTAACCCCCACCATCTGCTCCCCTCGGCGCCCCAGATGGAGCACTCTGCTCCACACAGGGGGCTGTGGTAGCTCGGTGGTCTGTGGTGTCGTCAGAAAGGGCATCCGGCGTAAAATCAATTGCCAAGTCGTTGTGAGACTTCACCGTGGCGACCCCTGAATAAGGGAGCAGCTGAAAGAAGAACAATGAATAAAACACAAAGTCCAGTTTATATTACGTTTGTTTTCTATGGTTTTAAATAAACGCCTGAGATTATTTTTAGAGTAATACTTGCTCATGTTGATATGAACTATAGAGCTGATAGTAAACGTCTTACTTGATGCTTCTAATTGTCCAACTCTCTCTCTGTTAGCTGCTAGGTCTTCCAGACATTGATGATGACAGTTTTGAGCCCTACCATGCTGACATGGAGGGGGAACCTGGGCCCGACCACCAACAGATGGGGGTCAGCCAGCAGTGATATCCCCCCACCACCACCTTCCCTCTCCCAAGAAGAAGCTCGAGCCTGGGCAGAGCTGCTCCGAAGCTTTGGGCCTTGACACATGAGCCCACTTATCAACACACACGCCAACACACTTAAAATCCACCACTTTGTTCTTGAATGTCTCCGTGGCTTTGCTTCCTGTTGACCTCCCTTTGCAACCAAACTGACACACACACACAGATCGGGTCTACGTGAGCAGTAGCCATGTAAGCATCATAATCATTCACCATCTGGTTAGTTAAAGTTCAGCACAGCAATATGACATCAGCTTTGTTATGCAGAATTACGTCCAGATGTTACGGTAACACACACCTCTCCTCTTTGTGGAGATGAATGTGGCAGATATCTATTTTTTTTTTCTTTTCCTGTCTGGCACAAATGTCCACAAAATCAAGATGAAAGGGAGAAAACTGATGGTTTGTGGCTACAGCTGCAGAGATGCAGGGGGTGTAGTGGGTGTGCGAGCAGAAAAGATAAAGAGAAATGAGTAAAAACAAACGGTTCATTGTGACGGATTCACAAATTCAATAACTGTACTCATGATAAAAGCTTGCCTGTAGGCAGCAAAGATATTTCTGAGGTGTGTTTCTTAGTGTTTGCAAAGCCACTTCTTAATATATCAGCCGATTTGAAGCGGTTATCCGTGTAAACAGTTAATATCTTACCTGTTGTAGATAGATCTTTGAGCAGCCTAAGTCATGAGCTAACAGCCAGTCCAAATGCAACACAAACCAAAGTGAATCCCTGCATCTTTAAACTACTCTCATTTCAAAGCTTTTATAGCGGTTCATGCAAACACTCTTTTGTAAACCTTTGCATCACCATCATTTTTTTAATTACCGTAATTTACATGAAACCTTTGCAAATAGGGATAGCAGCAGTCAGCTGTAGCACAGTGGTGTCCAGTCCTGGTCCTCGAGGGCCACCGTCATGCATGCTTTAGTTGTTCCCCTGCTCTTCAGCAGGGCTTTTTGTAAATCATTCGTTCAAATCAAGTGTGACAAAGCAGAGAAAAGTCTCAAACTTGCAGGATCATGGCCCTGGAGGACCAGGACTGGATGCCAGTAGCACTTCAGGCGCAACCTGAGCTCAAATCTGGCAGAATTCACGCACCGTTTAAAGGATAAAGTTCAAATCAATGGTTCTTTTCAGCAACTGGCCCACAAATGATCTGTGGCAAAGTCTTGTGTCTCCAGATGTTGCCACTTCTGTGTAAAGTTTCTACTAACTGTGTCCAATGGGGGAGGTAATGACAACACAAACAATTATGATACTACTTTATTTAATATTTTTAACCCTTATTTAACCAGGAAAATCCCATTGAGATCACAGATCTCTGTTGCGAGGGAGGCCTGGACCTGAAGGCAGCCTAACATGCATGTTTTTGGTGTGTGGGAGGAAACTGGAGCACACGAAGAGAATCACACGAGCACGAGAACAACATGCAAACTCCACACAGAAAGACCCCAGGTCCAACCGGGGACTGAACCCAGGACCTTCTTGCTGTGAGGCAACAGTACTAACCACTGAGCTGTGGTGCTCACACAATTAGTGACTATACTCTGTGGGTGCATCTAGGCATAAGATGGGCTCCTTTCGAAAATTGGGTTGCCACGTCAAAATCCAAGATGGCTGCCACCATGTATATTTGTACCGCGATCATCTGAGGAAACTTTGCTTTCTAGTTCATATATTGCTTAAAAGTATGGTTTCCTTAAACGTTGGATGGTGATGTGGCCGCAGATTAATCTATGGGGGTGAAGGACGCCCCCTGGCTCCACCACAGCACCTGGTGGTTGATATAAAAACAGAACTTCTCTTCTCCACAGTGAAGCTCCTACTCACTGGAATCTTGAACATCTTTGACCAAAAACGTTTAGGTTTACTTGCATTCTCTGTTCAGTTCCAGTCCATAAAAAAAACTCATCTGGAGGACTAAAAACATTCACCATTCAAATCCTTCAGCGACTGGGGACATCAGCATGCTGCTTTTTTGTAACAGTTATGGTAAAACTATGTAATTACAACTTTTTTTTGGTAACTAATTTGTTTTCAGTAAATTATCTGAGGATCCACTATTAGTGTTTCATCATGGCCACCGTGAGGATCTGACCACCATTTTGGAAAACACTGGTTTAAATTGTAGTCTTTTTGTGGATCTTAATAAAATGTTGAACATAGATGTGCTAAAGCCACATAATTGTTTTTAAAAGGGGTCTGCTCAGAGACGCTGATGTTCGCTCGCTCACTTCCACTTCCATCCACAGTTCGTGCTGTCAGTTGTTTCAGCTGAAATATTGTGAAATTCCTGCTTGAAGTGCTACAGCTAGCTGCTGCTGCTATGTGTGCTTGCAAATATCAACAGAATTCTGTGTAAATAATGTGCATTGAAAAACTACCAGCGGTGTAAAGGTTTGTGAAATAATGTTTTCATGAGCCACTACAAAAGTTTTCAGATTGAGTTTGTCTTTAAACGCCAGCAGTCCACTCTGGGCTTGGCTATTTTTACACCGTCAACGTAAATAAAGTTAGACGAAGCAAATAAATCAACATTTATTGTGCACAACTGAATCCAAAACTTGCAGTTTAAAGGCCTCGCAGGTTTGGAGCTGGAGCCTGCACACTAACGATGTTGGGCTGTATCGCTGATGTAGCACCAATGCTAGTAGTGGAACTAATCTTCATACAAAACACTACAAACTCTCTAACAGGCTGTCAATCACAGAGAAGTGTGGCACTTTTTCAATTCCTCAGACAACTCAATGAAACTAAACATATAAAAATGCATATTTGAACATACAGTAGACAGGTATGAACAAAAATCAACACCTAAAAAATGATCTCAAATGCATTTTTAGTAGGAAAATATCCCCATCATTTACATTGTCCCTAGGTGAGAGTGAATGGTTGTTTGTCTCGTTTGTCTCTGTGTCCCTGTGATGGACTGGAGACCTGTCCAGGGTGTCCCTGTGATGGACTGGAGACCTGTCCAGG